TCCTTTAAAAAAACAGCTCGTTTCACATGTGAGAGGCTGTGGGGATGAACTGCAGGGGTGAGGCCTTCCTCCCTCCCTCACTCCTCCAGGAGTTATGACTCCTTCGGTGGGCCATCATGCATGGCGAGCAAGTCCTCCACCTTCTCCAGGGGGCTGCTCAGCATCTGCTGGTCCCCCAGCTGCCACCACGAGGAGCAAGGTGGGAGAACCAAGCGAGGCAGGTCAGACCCAGTGCAGCCTCAGGCTCAGAGCACATGAGGTGGCTCTGGGAGCAGGCAGTGAGGAGAACTGGTCCCTCAGCCGGAGCTGGGAGCAGGGAGCAGCTGCAGTTTGAGGCGGTTCATGCAGGCGGAGAGCAGGACGAGGAGCGGGTGTCGCAGGCTGTGCGCTGCACGGCAGCGGTGCCAGCAGACCCTGTGCCTGGTGGTCTGTGCCGGGGGCAGGAGCAGGCACTGTCGGGGCCAGGTGAACCCTGAGTGGCTGGTCCATTGCTGCAAAAATTTGGCTTAGCCCAAGGGAGTCTTGAGGCCAGCAGTCCTGGGGCCAGCTGTGGGGAGGTCTCCAACCCTTCCCAGCCCCTTCCAGCTGTCTGGGGGTTGTCCCAAGCGGTAGCACAGTAGCTGTGCAGTAGGAGAGCTTGCTCTGGGTACAAGAGGTGCTGACTCTGAAAAGCAAGAGGGAGGAAGACCTGGTTCATGAGGGGTGTGGTTGGGAGCCCAGCACAGCCTGGGAGGGGAAGCAGACCTTCCCAGATGAGCCATCAGCAGAGGACATGCTGGGGGATGTGGCAAAGCAGCACTGAAGGAACGAACTTACCTGCCGGGCTGGGGGCTCCCCTCCTTAGCTCCTCCATGCTGCTTTGGAAAAGAACAGAGCACGTATAGTACCCCAGGTGAGGCCTGCTGAGAGGGGCAGCATGCTCATGACCCTGATAGTGTGGGCATGGCACAGCACTACCAGGCACTCAGAGCGCCGAAGGCCCTAGCCCACTGGCTACCAAACCCTTTCCCCAGGCAAAGCCACATCTCCTTCCCCTCAGGAGCCCCCACGTACAAAGGGCTGCCATGTTCCGGGGCCACACGCACAGCTCCAGTCTGTGCACGCACTGGTTCCCGGCTGACACTAGCTCAGCCCAGGCGCAGCCCCACAGCTCTGACAGACCCCAGCCAGGTGCCAGTGACACAGAGAAGAGCCACAATGGAACATGCCTCTCGCACCCACCACCACAGGCACTTCTGCAGAGACCTACGGGTTAATCCCCCGCTGCCAGACTGGTACCATCAGCTCCTGGCAACCACAGGACAGACACCAGCAAGCTCAGCCCCAGGCCTGAGCTCACGCAGAAGCAACCAGGCCCCCATCCTGGCCGAAGCTCCAAGGAAATTAGTGGGAGGAGAGGGCCAGCTCTGGGTCACACCTGGGAAGCATGTCTGGATAGGCTGGCCTCAGCAAGGAGTGGCAGAAACAGAACAAGGAACATCTCTGGGTACATCCTGTGGGTCAGCATCTGTCCCGTACGGCTCCACTGCAGAAGTTATACTGCAAGATCTGCCCCACCACAGCTCAGTTCCCTGTTCACTCAACCTCTCAGGTGCCAGAGGCAGAGAAAGCAGCAGGAAGCTCCCCCTTGCTCCCATTCAGAGCTCCTTCATGCTCCCACCATGCCCATAGCCCCAGCAGCTCCCCTTGCATGGGGCACAGAGAAGGAGACAAGACAGTATTCCCCAGAGAGATCCCTGAACACAGCAAGTAGCTCACCACCTACCCAGATAAGGTTTCACCAACGTTATCATCTTCCTCCTCCTCTTCCTCCTCCTGGCAAACAAACAAACCAAAAGAAAAGAACACCATGACACCTCGCTGCCTGGGCAGGTCTCTGCCAGGAGAGAGGCTGGGCTGCCCAGAGCCTGTTCTGGAGCAGCAGGGCAGTCCCCAGCCCCTTCACAAGACACAGTCACCCACCAGGCACGGCACAGACACAGGGTGCCTAGAGGCTGTAGGGAGAAAGAGAGCGCCTGCAGTGCTGGGCTGCTGAAATTCTCAGGGGTCAGGCACGCAGCCACCCCAGGGGAGAGACAGACCACAGCTCTTCTCACATCCCCTCCAGGCAGCAGAGCACCCAACACAGGCTGTGAGCAGGGAACAAGCCGAGACAGCTGCTGCACACAGCACACCTTTGCCCAGGGACAGGAACGGCGTGAGCACATCTCGCAGCTGGAGGGCCAGGCAGAGGACCACCTGGGAGCAGGCTGTAAGCAGGTATGACCCCAGGCACTGCTAGGCTGGGCCAGCACTGGAAGCATGAGACCAAGGACCAAGTGTCCAGAGCCTCCTGGGCAGGGACACGGTGAGACCGGCAACACTGGTAATGCTCTGGTTGGCTCTGGACATACAGTAGGTGTAGTGCATATGGGCAGGGCTGAGCCTTAGCCCAGGCTGGAAAGATGGTGACCAAAGGGTCCTCTCCTTCAAAGACAGTGTCTCACCCCTAGCCATGGCAGCAAGTGTGCAGAGCAGCTCCCAGCTCCCTGTTTGACAGTGCCAGCAGAGCAGGGCTGAGAGCTGCTGCAATGCTGGGCCTGGAAGGAGAGCTCCTGGAGCAAAAACCACCTGGAAGGAGAGGAGCTCCTGGAGCAAAAACCACCTCAGGAACCGTGCCTGCCTTGTGAGCCAGACAGAGCACAGTGTCCCTCTTAATGTCAGGATGCCGTGTGTGAGAGAGGCTGTCCGGATACCAACAGGGGCCAGGAGGAAGGAGCTGCATAAGGAGGCTCCTGCCCTACTGTGAGACAGCCCTGGGCGTGGGCCAGACTTGCACATACTGTACCCCAAACTGGTGTCTGAAGGGAGGGCTCCCCGGGGGGGCTGGCTCACTTGGTCTGCCGGGCTCACTGCTCTCCAAGACACATGAAGGGTGAAAGGACTGTTCCTGCCTAGAGCCTAGGACAGGGCAAAAGCAGCAGAGTTAGTGCCTGCAACCTGGAGGAGGTCCAGCAGGGAATGTACAGGCAGGGCTGTGGGCAAGAGAGAGATACCCCTGCTGTGCTCGGAGGAGGGTGCAAACAAAGGTGGGGGATCACTGCTCACAGCAGGTAGGTACCACAGGGCCCTGAGCTGTGCTACAGCTCAGCAACGCAGAGTAGTCCAGCATGGATATCAGGGATCCCTCCCAACCTCCCACCCCAGCCAGAGATAGGGCAGGCTCCCCAGGTGGGGCAGTGGCAGAGAACACAACAGCAGGGACAGCACTGTCCTGCTTCGTGTTTCACCAGCCAGGCAGCAAGGCATCTTTCCTCCACACAGCCCAAGACAGGGTCCCACTCTGGAGACCCCGATCCCAGGGCTATACAGAGGGACACATTTGAGAAATTCCTCCTACCTGCATGTGCTGCTTCCCAGAGATCCAGAGCCATCTGGAAGGCCTGGGCCACGGTCAGAGTCACAGCCTGGGCCTGTGTACAAGAAAGAAGGGGAAGGTCTGCTTTCATCTGGGCCCTCAAGCCCAGACAACCCCACTGCCACGAAAGCTGAGAGTCCCCAGGCCTCTCTCGCTGCCTTTCCCTGCAAAGCATGCACGTAGAAGGCCAGAGCTCAATGTCTGTCTACCCCTGTGGGCCAGCCATTCCCAGGATGTCCAGCTGGGACAGAAGAACCTGCTTTCGCTCACCACTCGCCTCTGCAGTGTGTGAGCACACGTGTGCTCCCTGGCTCCATTTCCAGCTCAGGTGCGCAGAGATAAGGGCTTTCTCTCTCTGAAGGGGGAGAAGGAAGACCCTTGTTCCCACCCTTACCTCAGGGAGCCAAGAGCAGAAGGGAAGTGCTTACAATCTTCTTCTTGGGTGAAAGGAAGGCATGGCATTCCAGTGCTCCGCTCTCCTGGCTCTGGGCAACATAAGCAAAGACTTTGTTTTGCAGCTTGTCTGTTGTGCAGTAGGAGATCCTGCAGGCAGAGAGGAGCTACTCAGGGCAATAAGGGACCCCAGCACACCAACAAGCACTGCTGACAGCCTGAGGCTTTAATCTGCCCCAGATGATCAGGCAGCCCAGCCCCTCAGCAAGTGTGTCACCTACAGCTAGTAAGAGATCACTGCACCCACAGGCATTCCCTCCCGCATTGCCCCTGCGTGCTCCTCTGTCCTCTGATGCCCAGTTCAACCCAATGTATGAACTCAAGCACTGAGACAAAAGGAGCACAGAAGGGTGAGTGATTGCCTCCAAGGACACGATTGGAGGCCAGGCAGTAGGATGGTCTGCCCAGGCAAATCAGCTCTAGTGCTGGGACCCAAATTTTGCACCAAGGAGATTTCCTGTCTCTGCTTCCCACGTAGCCACCAGCCTGCAGCCACACTCCCCTCACACCCAGTACCCACGGACACCCAACCCAGCCAAAGCACAGCTGGCAGCAGTAAAAAAACCCCCACATCAGCTCCCACAGCAGCTGCCTTTAGCCAGCCCAAGTAAGCTGCAGTCTAAGGCAGCATCATCCCACTGCAGCCAGAAGGGTGGTCCAGTGTCAGTGGAGAGAGACAGACATGCAGTCCTGCCCTAACTGTGGGGCTTTCCAACCACCAGCCTTGACATCCTGCTTGAATGCCAGAACAGACAAGCAGGGTCCAGGGAAAAGGTAGATGGACTGACCCAGAACTCAAGGCCACCCAGGACCCTGCTTGCATTCAGCCCCAGGTAGTGCCGTGGGGCACAGCAGGGAGAGGGCATGGGCCTCAGGGAGCCAAAGGAAGACCTAAGCTTGAAGGTACCACTGACAGAAGATCCCATCAGCCGCCAGCTGGCTGTTGAGAAACACTCAGGCCTTCCAGATGCCATGCCCACCTGTAGATGGAGATGTTCTCAACCATCTCCTTTGTGTCTGCATCCTGCAGCGAGATGCCTCTCGGAGACACTGTCAGAATCACCTTCTGGAACTTGCGAGCTCCCACCCGTGCCTGGCAGTGGGGAGACACCAGATACCTCTGCAAATCTGGCAAGGGTCTTCACCCCGCCTTGCTGGCAGGAGTCCTCCAGACTCTGTACAGAGTGCCACCCACTTGGACCCTTGCTGCAAAGGCTTCTGCTGTAGGGATGGGAAAGCAGAGCCTGGAGATCAGGCATGTCCTGCATAGAACGCCCCTGGAATCTGTTCACACTACTGCCATGCACATGGGAAAGGACAAACCCCACCTCCCCTGGTCCTTCACCCTCCCCTCCATGCTGTGACAGGCCCAGCTCTGCTCCTAGCCATGTTCCTGGTGTGGGAGCAGGCAGCAGCGGCTGTCCTGCAGGAAGACAGCTCCCCCCAGAGCACACAGGCAGAGACCAGCTGGCCTCTTGCCTGCTGTCCTGGTGCAAGGACACCACACACACCACCCTTGTCTTGGGAGCAGCACAGTCCCTAGCTGGGGTTCAGGGCTGGGACACGGATGCTTCCCGGATCCCAGGGGTTAGGCTCTGAATTGGCCCCTTTCTTACCCCAGTAGAGCAAGGGCCCCAGGAGCAGCTCTCACCGTGGCCACGATCCTGTGGATGGCAGCAGCAGCCATGTCTTCTCCTTTGGGTTTTTCTACCAGTGTCATCCCCAGATACTTGAGTGTGAAGCACATCCCCTCAAGCAGTGGCTCCTGCATATCAGCCCAGCTCTCGGGAAGCTCTGCAAAGACAAAATCCCTTAACAGCATAAGCCACGTGCCAGCCGCCCCATGGCTAGTCCCAGCAGAGCCACCCCACCTCGTTGCAGCTTTGCTGCTCCCAGCAGCAGTGATGCTACCTGCACTCAGCAGGTCATTCTCCTGGCTCTGTGGCATTCTCTGAAGAGGAATAGAATGAGAGGACAGTTCACTCTCAAAGCTGTTAGTCCTCCATTCCCGGAGGCACAGGCTCTGCCAGCACAGATAGCAAGCTCCTGCATATCTGCACAGGGCCTCAGATGCTGCAGTGTTCAGTGCTACCTGCAAAAACCTTGCATTTCCAGGTCTCACCTATTTCACTATAAGCAGGATGTGCTCTGTACTGCATTCATCTCACCCACCTAAGCTGTTGGCACTCCTTGGGAGCAGCATTTGCTGCCACACTCTGTGAGATCAAAAGCCCCAAGCTGTCCCAGTGTAACCAAAGCCAAACCCTCCGGCAGCTATCATTTGCAGCAGCAGGCTGCCAGCGAAGGGGCAGCTTGTCCAGCACTCACAGTCCAAGCTGAGGTGGCTGGGAAGCAACTGCACCACAAAGATTCTGTGTCAAGGAAGAGTTCAGACTGGTGTTTCAAAGTAGCTTCTAGGAAAACACATTTTATGGATGAACTCCAATGCACAGAGGGAAGAGGATCATTGGTTGTGCTCGATGATCCTAAAGGTCTTTTCCAACCCGAATGATTCAGATTCTACGAGAGCTCCCACGTGCATTACTTCGCAGGTCACGAAATTAAAGGGGCGCTGGCTTCTGTTTTCTGTGTCCTCTCTTTTCAAACTCCATCGCTGCAGTCAAGGAAAAAAAAAACAACAAAAAAACCCCCAAAAAACCAACCACCAGGCAGAGTGTCTGTTCATGAAAGGAAGATTCCCTAAGGGCAGTTCTCAGCATCTCCAGCTTCCTCCAGAAAGCAGTCTGTTTCTTCCTTCAGAAAGCAGTCTGTTTCTTCCTTCAGAAAGCAGTCTGTTTCACCAGCACATTCTGCCACGTGGTGGGTGTCCTGGTAGGAGAAGGAGCCCTGGCTCTACAGTCAGTCCCAACACCACTACAGTTGGCAGAAAACACACACAGCAAGCACCGTGGAAGCATCCATCTGACCTCTGCTCCCTCAAGACAAAGCCATTGGCTTCAACGGAAAGTCCACTCTCATTGAAGGCAAAAGCTTTAGTTACCTGACTAGTGTGCCACACACAAGGGAACACTCCTCTTGTGCCGAGCACTTCCTGGTGATAATTTTCAAGGAGAGGTGAAGCAGATATTAGCACACATTTACTTTCCTCAGATCCCAAAGGGCACAAGCATGGTGAGAGAGGAGATGGGCAGAAGGCTTAAGACACAGGGAGTCAGTCTCTTTCTTCTTCTTGGGGATTTGTCCCACAGAGGAGGGAAGGAACAGGAACGCAGAAGTTACATGCTCTGCTACAAACACCGGATTTGTGCAATTCCCTGGGAATTGCCTAGGTACCTACTGTTCACAGTAAACTATTTCAGGGTTATTTTTCATCTCTTTCCTGGGATTAACTCCCTGAACATTACTGGCACACTTGCAGAAGGCTCTGACTCATAACTGGAATAACCTGAATCTGCAGGGAAATCGAGAGACCTTAACTTGCACAGCAAACTTCTGCATTACAACGACCAGAGAACACACTTGGTACCGTGCAGGCATCAGGGATCTCTCCCCAGGGTACAAGAACATTGCCTCTCTCCAAACTTGGAGAACAGCCCACACGTGTCAGGGCTGCCAGAGTGAGCTCTGCTGCTCCAACAAAGCCTTTGGGCAAATGTAACTGAGAAAAAAAACCCAGGCCACCACTGAGCAGAGTCTGGCCCCATCC